CATAGAAAAAAATGTTTTATACAAAAGTTTTACAACAAAATCTGTATTCATTCGCGTTTTTAGAACAATTATTTACCAATTATTTGTCAAAATTTTCGAAAAAAAATTGTTAAATAATTATTCTAAAAAAATATCATTGACGTGAATAAATAGAATAAATTTCATTGTATAACTTATGTATAACACATTTTTTTATATCTCGAATAATTTTCGAGATATAGCCGAGAAAGCTGAAAATCGCTTCACATATGAGGTCTGATTTCACCCTTCGAAACTCTACGTTGGCAACAATTTTCAGAACTTTTTAAAAAAATTATTATTTTTAAAAGTATTTATGATAGAGGTAATTTTATTATAAAGCTACTTGTAAGTAAATGTCTATCCAAAGAAAATGATAAAATGCTATTATTTCCACACCACCTGTCATGAGGTAGGTAGCATGGTTCGCTTTTTTTATAGTGGTTTCCCCAGTAGGCCTATTCTACTCTATTTTTTTTATGCACGAATTATTCCAAATGTCGTCATTCCTCAGTTAACTACTTTGGAATATTTAAAAACTTATATATTTTTTTAAAAAGATTTATTATTATTATAAAAAGATATATTATTATTACATAAAAATATATTCGCACGAGTAATATTTAAAAAATGTTTATCAAAATATTGTAAAATTACAACATCCTTCTCCTCATTTTTCTCAATACATCATTAATTTAATGATGCATGCAGTTAAATCATTTAACTAAAGAAGATGTTTTAATTTGACTCTATAATTTATTTACTTACATACGTTAATGTGAACGTTACTTATGTTGAAATAAGTACAGAAATAGACTGATTAACATTTTGATACACATGGAACTAAAAAGATAATAAAATGTTATTTAACTCAAGAAACTCGGGGTTGCCATTGCTCCTTTGACATCTAACAGTGATAAGTTACGGTACCATATATTTCCTGTAATGTATAAGCATATTTTTTGTTATATATAAAGAGCGATAAATGTATTTATTATAAATTTTAAAACTACTTGTTAATCTCGTTATTAATACTAACATGATTATTAGGGAAGAGTTGGCTAAGTCGTACCGACGGTTAAATCGTACCTCCATTGTATTTTCTAAATGAAAGATTTTTTTTTAAAGATAATGACACTGATGTGACGCTGGTAATATGGGTTAAGAATTATCTTTTTTGTTTTGTCTTCGAGTCGTCTGTTTACAAGTGACATTCAAAATTGATTTTGTTCGGTGTCTGATCTAAGTTTTGATACAATTTACCTAAGGTGTTATCAATACAAGGTGGGTAATTGAATTATAGTGTTCTTCATGGTTATAATCGATATTTAAACTCTTTCCGAGTATAGCATCAAATTAGAAAGATATTTATAAGTTATGTTGTTATTGGCAAATTTGTAAAAATAGAGGAAGTTCAGTAAATCGTACTTGTCGTTGATCTTTATATTGTACCGGTACGATTTTCGCAAGTGACACGAGCAATATGTAGAGGTTACTATTATGATAAAAAAGGACTACTAAGTGGACTGGATTCAGTATGTCAGGTGCTCTAAGTGATTGCACGAAAACTGTAGTGACAATCTTGACATTTATCAAAACTGTTTAAATAAGCGCTCAAGAAAGTGATTACTTATCAACTATTGAGTCTTTCTATTAAATTTTTCTATTGAGTCTTTCTATTGAATCTTTTCTATTGTGACGGAAAAATCCGTAATTGATTTTATTTCAAAAATTTATTTTTTCCAAATACCTGAGATTTTAATATTCTGAAATATAGTGCAATGATAGCTTAAATCAATTAAAGTATTGCTTTTTACTTTGTTTTCTTAAATAAGTTTAAAAACACAGATCTAATTTCTGTTTTTATAATAGAAAAGTTTTTATTATACCTACTTAAATATATATACTCAGTTCAAATTAAAAATAAATTTATTAATAAATGAGTTTTAAAATTAGTTTCGTTTATTTTCCTAGTAAACAAACTGACGTTGTTTACCATCATTTTGACGTTAAAGATGTTATTTTAATGTCAAAATGACAATAAGCAATGTCAGCTTGTTTGCTATATTAGAAGTACGATTTAGGAACCA